GAGAGGAAAACCATGGCTGCCAAGGCTGCAAAACTCATAAAAGAAAAGAGGACCATGTCCAATGAGTAAGTTGTCATAGCCAGACGTGGCCTATCTTTCATTTCTTCTATTTGATATCCGAATTGTTTTAAAGGAAGAGGAGCAGCACCCCATGTGTATCCACAGCCACCACCACTTCGGCCACCACCACGTCGACCTCCACCTCCGGCGACAACACAAGGGAGGACAATTTCCCATCGCTGGGAAGGTTAGAAGTGTTTTTATGCTTATATATTATTTACAGCTGCCATACTGACAGTACGTTTTTCCTGCAGGCCACAGAAGAGCAGGGAACCATGGTCGGCAGAGGACACTCTAAAGATTCAGACTAAGCTACGGCATTTGATAAAAATGTCTAGCCTCCCGTCAAGGCTCGCGATAAGGGAACAGTTTAAATCCTCTGTGCCTTCCATTTGGGGAAGGCAATCCACAAAAGAATGGCAGGACCGCTGCGTAGAAAAGGTAAGGTCTCTGTGGAAGAAGGACAAGTAGTAGGTCCTGCCATTCTTTTGTGGATTAAATAAGTTGACATTGACAAAAAAAAAAATCATTAACAAGAAAACCCTAAAAAGGGAACGGAACACTGATTTGGTCTAATGGTCTACCGTTCTCGGTAGGTTGGTTCGAATCCAACAAGACTTCCCGAGAGACCTTATCAAAGTGGGACGAACACCCTTTCAAGTGCCTATGACCTGTGTCAAAGTCCCCAGACATTGCCAAAATGACCTAAACTGCAATATAATTAACTAATTAGGTAACCCCCACTAATTAGAGGGTTCTACGCTCATGTGAACAAATTGCGGAAATAAATCCATGTGCGTATTTCCGCGTCCATGTGCGTATTTCCGCGTGTGTATGTGCCTTTTTCCGCAGTTTCGGGCCATGCCCATGCCCCTGCCCCTGATCCTGCCTCTGCCCCTTCTCCTCTCTCTGCCCCTTCTCCTTCTCTTTCCTCTCCCTCTACCCCTATCATTGGCACTTCCCCTCCCTCTTCCCCTGTCCGTCCCTCTGCTGTCCCTTCGCTGGCGAAGGAAAAGAAAGAGGCCAGGAATGTGTGTACTATTTGTAACAAGGAGGTGTTCCGCATATTGCGGCACCTCAAGGTTACTCACGGAGTGGAGGGTCCCGAGCTGCAGGCGGCGAGGGATGCCTCCAGGGAACATCTCTTGTCCAAAAAAAACATACCTGGGACAGCAAAGAACCCCGTGAGGATATGCCCACTTGATGGCTGCAACTCTGTGGTCGCCCGGCTGGACAGACATCTGCACAACGTCCATGCCATTACAAAAGAGGAAAGGCCAGAAGAATATACGGAGGCGCTGAGAAAAGCCGAAAAGAGGTACGCTTTTTATGTATGTCCAATAATTTGCAATAGCACATCATGTTCATGCTGCTCCCTGTTACTTGAAAGGGTCGTCGCGAAGGAGGAGAAAAAGGAGGAGAAGAGGGAGGAGAAGAAGGAGGTGGTTGAAAAACCTTGGCCGCGAAAGAGGTAAGCATACAATGCAGTACAACGTATTAAGTTATCAATACTTAGGTCTACTCTTTATTTTCTTGTCAGGCGCATCGTGGTCCTCGACGAGGAGAAAGACTTCGAGCCATCTGACTCAGAGACTGACACAGACTGCGAGTCAGTCTATGAGTCAGATGAGTCCTCTGAGGAAGAGGAAGACGAAGAGAAGGAAGAGTTGCGCGACTTGGTCTCCGACATATCTCTCCCAAAGGGGAAGGGAATGGGAGCAGCTTGCAAGAGCGGGATTCTTAAGCAACTGCTTCCCGAGTACCTTACCTTCAGGATGTCTCCGCAAGGGGGAGATATGTCGGAGGATCAAGCTAAGCAGGACGTGGCAAGGGTACGTGACCATCACTTATAGGTACTTTGATATAGGTAGATGCTAACCTTTTCACACGTTTCTTTTAAGATCATTCTTTTAAGACATTCTGTGGAAACGGTTCTTCCAGCTCCACAGGGATGGAACAGCAACGCATAAGCTCACCGGAACGACGCTGAAATTGTACTCGAGGGCTCTAGAAATATTTTTGGAGTGGCTTCTGCACCACCGCGCCCATCTGCTGTCCTTCGAGGAAATGGTAATCATTACAGTTCGATGTCATGTTGTGAATTCACTGTTCCCTCACTTGGATATTCTTCCTTTTTCAGCCTGCCTTCACCCATTGACATTGTATTTCATGTTTTTAGATGTGGGTCACCCATCTAACGGGAAAGGGGGCCAGCACGGCACAGCTTTCAGATCTGGCGTCATTGATGAAGCACAGCAGGCGCGTCCAGGAGGCCTGGTATGATCTGACATTAAAGAGCGACCAGGCCAAACGGGCGTGCCAAGCCATCCAAGATGAGCTGAAGGTAATTACGTATTCGACTAAATATTGGAAAATGACATTGATATATTCTAATGCTCAGTGTCGTACATATTTCCCTAAGGACGCCGAGGCCCGCTTACCTCCTCCCCCAGACACACCATCCCCCCAAAAGAAACACAGGAAGGAGTTGGACGTCCATGATGGAGAAACCGATTCACCCCACAGAAGGTAAACAGTTCAAGTTGCCGTTTCGTCTACTGCTATAGTATCGTAATACTTCTCAATCCATTTCCTACACAGATACCATGGTAAAAGATACCCTTGGAGTAGGGCCCAGATCGAAGTATTACAACGCGGTATGAGGTCACTATTACAGAGGGATACATTTCCAAAAAATGAAGAAATAAGGGACGCGTTTCTCGATGAGCCGCTGTCTCTGGTTCGTATCTTCCGACTGTACGATTGCGTCGACTGGCGCAAAAAATGCATCGAGAAAGTTAGAAATATGTTCAAGACAAAAAAGAAATATAAAAAAAATTGTAAAGACCTCCTCGGCTGGGGGGTAGTGTTTCCCAATTTAAGACTCCGTTTCATGCCCTTGAGAACCCTAAATCCTAACCCATAATGGATGAAACGAAGGAGGAATTATCATCTAAGCATTACGCCCGAGGCGAGGAGGTCCAGGGTAAAGGGTTAGTTAGTGTTTGCGTTTTAACTAAAAAAATTACAAAAGAAATTAAAAAAAATTAAAAACAAAAAAACAAAAAAAAACCCCCGACGAGAGAAAAGAAAACCAAGGAGAGTCAAACATGATTGAAAAAAGGTGGAACCAAAGCCAAGGAAAGTTGGAAAGTCTCGGGGGGAAAAGCCAAATGGAAATACCGTTTACGGCATTGTTGGTTCGATTCCAACATGGCTTCCAAAGAGACGATTCCAAAAAAGGGGTGGAAGACAATCCTGCATTGCTTAAAGCCCACTGTCTGAACGACACTGTGGTACCAGTTTGGTTGAAATCCGACGAAAATTCAACGAGATAGAATTTTTTTCGTGAGAGCGGTAAGAGTCCATTTTCTTAACCCAAACCCTAGCTACATTGGGCTGACAAACTCGGACAAAATGGCCTTTGCTTAACGAGCTATTAAAAATTCAGAATAAGAGCTAATGATATCCAACCAACTCCTTCGTGCTCTTGAAAGGTTGGCCTATCTATTGTGAGTATTGGTTAATCCTAACCCTGGCCCATTAGGCTTCTAGACGAGTTCAAAGTTACGGTCAGAATAGGAATTCTTCGTCTAAGAGTTCTGGTACCGTAATACTTCTCAATCCATTTCCTACACACTTAGCACGTTATCGATACGCTCGGATTAAAACACCAACTCATGCTTAAAGCTCAATGTCTGAGCAACACTGTGGTACCTGTTTCATTGAAATCCGTTAAAAATTCAACGAGATAGAATTGTTTTCCTGAGAGCAGTAAAAGTCCATTTTTTAACCCCAACCGTGAAAAGTGGCCTTTGCTTAACGAGCTATTAAAAATTCATAATAATCGCTAATGACATCCCACCACTTGGATCCTACAGCTGGAAGGCAGGGCTTGCCGGGTGTTGTAGTGGAGGTCGAGTGACTTAACGTTTTGTACCTTTGGTAGTCACGTGAAGTATGTCCTATTTACAACAAAATGTATGGGCTGACCAACTCGGACATTTTGCTGACAAACTCGGACATTTTGCTGACAAAGTCGGACATTTTGCTGACAAAGTCGGACATTTGCTGACAAACTCGGACATATGCTGACGAACTCGGACATTTTGCTGACCAACCGGTACTGGTTCTAACCCTAACCCTAACCCTAACTAGAGTCTCGTCTGGGTTTGTCAGCTGACATTTCAAAGTTGGTTTTTTATACCTAAATTTCCTCAAACGATTCTGAAATGCTCAGTTTTGAATGTTTTTCTCCTCTTCTACATGACATGCGAATATTAGTCCTTAAAATTAAAAAATCGATTTTTTATCGCAAAATTTCCAATTTTTTTTTGACAATTTATTTCTCAGCTGGATAAAGGTGTATCGAAAAACTGATATCTAACCTAGGTAGAACAGGTCCTATGCTACATACATGTAAAGGTTCAAGGCAATCGGCGCAAGCGCCAGGGTTTACCAGGGTTGGGAAGTCGGGTCCTGTATAGGTCTACTGATAACACAAGATTTGATATAAATTCATTTTTTCAAAAGTCCAATTCTATAATTCTTGTAGTTATGGGTCAATCTTAGTATCATTATGTTCATTACGGCTTTGGCTTTACGATGGTAGTATTTTTTTCAAAAATGACGCGCATGCGCAGAAGCTAGACGTGTTTTATTGGGTCCGTCTTCGTCAGCGAGGGTGCTTTATTTCTTTGTATCACTTTTTAATCCCCTTACTCTTTCTCAATCTCAACCATTTTATAGATAGGAAATGCCCTTGAGTTGGGCTTTTAAATTATATGCTTTTTGTTTCGAAATTCAAATTTTTTCTCGTACCAGTTCTTCACGGTCGCTGACATAATGGGACTTTTCCCGAAATTTCAGACAGCTCTTAAAAATCAAGGAAAGAGCCTGTGGTGACGAACGTTTAGTGTGTTGTAGTACTTGGCACTACCTTACTACTTAATATGTTTGCCCCCTGATATCACGTCCAGGGGGGACATTGACCGCTATGAAACAAAAAAAATTAAAGTTAAAGTAGCTCTTACCCATTAGCTTTAAATCACATCAAATTACGCACAGCTGTTGCCCTTTTAATTTACTTATATCTGTTATATTTGTGTTAGCTAACAATACAATATGAAGGAGAAATGATTTTTTTAATCTTCGAACTTTAAATATTGTTCCCATGGAAACCAATGACGTAATCGGAAAAACATGTCCGTAAGTCTGTAGTACAATTTAAGATGTTCAACCTCTGGGTTCCGGACCAGGATCACACTTTGTTGGTAGATTTTATAAGGTTCACAATAAATTACTCCACTGCGCATGCGCAGATTATATGTCCCCATTGTGCTTTTTTCAAGTACTGACTACCCTTATTAAGAATCACTGCAACAATTGCCGCGACTTGTTGTCTTTATAAGTCGAATTTAAAAATTAATTCCAATTTTTATCACATGCGCAGAAAAAAGTTTTCTTCTAATAATACCAGCTGTAGCACAATGATATTTACAAGTGTTATGACTAATAGTCATATATATCTGATCAAGTCATAAAAAACTACTTGAATGAGAAATAAAATATTTTGATCGAGTTGTTTAAATAAGATTTTGGTATTTTTAAAGTTTGCGCATGCGCAGAAGCATTTACTCTCCATTTTTCATCATAACTCATACACGAGCATTAAGAGCAACAATCATTCTTCTAACTGTGTAAGTTTCATCTCATTTGCAGAAGGTTTATTTACCAAAATATTTTTTTAAAGGAAGGTACCAATTTCACTGTACTTAGTTCATATTGATCCTAAGTGCCTTCACCCCCCCCGATCCTCTTTGGTTTGTACTTACAGAAAGGTAAGATGTGTGTTTTTAGCTCCTCAGTATTTGGGTTCTTACGTCCCCCAGTCATTCTTTTTGGGAAAAAAAACTTAATGTGCTTATGCATAAGGGTACGAGGAAAACATTGGTATCAAGATATTATTAACTTATTATTTGTATCAACCGTAATAAGTGTTTTACCTACTTTTATTTATCGATAATTCGACCACGTGACTAACATAATGGCGGAATGAAGGGGGAGTATGCATGTTAAAATTGAGAATATATGTCATGATATTTCTAGCTATATCTCGAGAACCCGTAGGCCGATTTTAATGAAACAAACGGTATATAAGAGTACATGTCCAGCGAAAACTAACGCACTCAATAAGGGGGTTGCAAAGTGTACTGCGCATGCGCAGAGTTGCTCAACACTAAGGCATTGTATATTTAACTATAACTCGAGAGCCAGTGGGCGTATTTTTATAATATAATCGTCATATGAAATTACGAGACCTAAGAAAGGCAAACATTCCATAAAGGGTTTCCATGATGTACTGCGCATGCGCTAAAGTTGTTTAGTCTGTATCTAAGTAGAAATATGGGTTTTTCAGCAAAAGAAAACAAAATGGACGGATTTAGAGAAGAAAACGTCGAGAAGTGGAAGGAAGATACCCTCAAAGCCATCACCTTCCTTCAATTCCAGTGTGGGAAGGTCGATGACTCTGAGGGTATGGACAAGAAGATCGAAAGGGAAAGGTATGCGCATGCCATTGCCTGCCTTTTGCGACACTATAGATGCAGATTAAGGCAGGCGCCACCTTCCTTGGCAAAATGTAGTACATGCAACGACGAGTACTTTCGGATTATCAACGCCGAAAATAGATTCAAGTCAGAAAAAGAGGCACAGACAGAAGAAGAAGAAAAGGTACAAAACACATCTACCTACGTATGTCCCTCTTTAAAGGTATTTATTCTATTCTATTTATTTAGCAGTTAAAATTTTATTGATTACAGGTGTCCTATGCTACAAACTCAGCGCAGACAACCCCAGCTATACTAAGTATCCCGCTGACTATGATTGATACGTCAGGGCTACCACCTCCCCTCGATTACATCGATGGTGTTTGTTACGATTTATGGGAGCCAAAATCTGCGTTTGAGCCTTCCTGTTCCCATGTCCAAGAGAACCAAGACCCTGTCATTGAGACTCCTCTCCCTGTCCCCGTAAGTATTTCCCCTGTCCCCAAGACCCCTTTCCCTGCCCAAAAACCCGCTCCATCCCCTGAACCTAAACCCAGATCAACTTCAATACCGGTTCCTGGCCCTGATAAGCCCCCTCTTCCTACCCTTTCCCCTCATAAGTATTCTCCTGCTCCTAATGCCTATTCTGCTGGCCTCTCTACTGGCCCCTCTGATGGCACTCAACCTCCTGGCTCTCCCGAGGTCGCCATAACAAAAGTCACATCTGGCCGAAAGAGGAATGCTGAAACAAAGAACTGGTGCCATATTTGTGGAAAGTACTTTGCAAAAATCTTGCGGCACCTCCAGCGGGTTCATGGGTTGACTGGCAGTGGCCTGGCAGAGGCCAGACAGAATTCTCGTTCACATCTTAATGAAAAAAGGATGATGGCCAGAGAGGAGAAGAAAAAGAACCCCATCAGGATCTGCCCTGTTGCTGGCTGTGGGGAGACTGTGATTAGGCTCGACCGGCACCTCGGGAAGGCGCATAACATAATCAAAACGAGCGACCCTAAACAGTACCGGAAGCTGCTCAGTGATGCAGAGAAGTGGTAAGTTGTGATTAAGCAAGTGAAGTAAGAAAGGTAAGTTAATGAAAGACCATATTTTCTGCATTCAACTTAACAGGAAGAAACCGATTAAGAAGGAGAAAAACAAAGAAGACACCGAAGAGAAAGAGATCAATAAGGAAAGGGAGGAGGAGTCCGAGGAGGAGAGCGAAGATGACAGCGAGGAGATGGAGGAAGAAACCGAAACGGAGGAAGACGATATATCTGAGAGTGAATTCTCCGGCATATCCCTCCCTGCGGTGTCAGGAAAAGGCAAGACACCAGCCTCAACCAAGAACACTGTTGAGGAGCTGATCCCGGAGTTCTTCGCCTTTCTTCAGACACCCCACGGGGGGGATTTGTCGGAGGGTAATGCCAAAGAAGATGCTGGCAGGGTAAGAGACTTTACAGTACCTATCTGGTGATTTCGCGTTGTCTTGTTAATGTCACACGTTTATCTTTAGGTTAAGAACTTGGCTAGAATGGTGTGCCCACAGAGTGGGAGGCTGTTAGATGTTTTCGGGGACCCAGATAAAATCTGGGATGTCTTCTTTCAACCA